TAAAGAGAAAAAAACAAGTACGAAAAGGTAGCAAATTAAGAGGAAAAGAACAACGGAAGAAAAGAGACAGGAGAATAGGACATGAAGAAAGAAAATGCAAGCAAAGACAGACGAAAAATAACAAAGACGAAAGGAAGATATATAGCAAAGAAGACAAAAGTAACGAACCAGGAGGAAGCAAGGAAAAAAGAAGAGCAAGAGATAACACAGCGCGAGACATAAGACCAATAACATCATGAACTCAAACAAAGAAAGAAAAAGAAAAAGAGAAAGACGAACAAAAACACAAAAAAGGGAAAAGTGAAAGAGCAAGAGAACAAGAAAAAAAGGATAAAAAGTAATAGGAGACAGGACATGAGAAAAAAGGAGATGAACAGGAAAAACAAAAACGAGATATAAGAAAAGAGAACAAAGAACTGAAAGAGACAAGAGGAAAAAAAGAAAGAAAGAATGGACTACAAATATTATAGAAAAAGGAAGAGTATGGCCAAGGTCGAAGATAAACAAAGAACGAGGAAGATACTAAGGAACAGGAGGAAAGGATATGGAAAAAGCGATCCAGGAAGGCCATATCAAGGAGTCACAATCAGCCAATGGAAAAAAGTAGGAAAGAAAAAAAAAGACATGAGAAAAAAGGATTAGTAAGGAATAAGTTAGAAGTGAAGTAGGCAAAAGAGACAGAGACAGCACGATATGGAAGTAGCAGAGAGAAAAGAAAACAAAATGCGAAAGACAAAAGAAAAAAGTGAACGTAAAAGGCTAAAAACACACGAGAAAATGACACAAAATACATCAAACAACAGAAAGAAAAGAAGAAAATAAGAACGACCAAAAATCACAAGAAAAAAGAGAGATAGGCTAAGAGGAGAAAGTAAGAGACAAAGGAAGGAAATGAAGAAGAAAGAATAGGAGAAAGACAACAATGAAAATGTACAACAAGTAAACAAATCAGAAAGATAGGCAAGAGCAAAGCGAAACAAGGAGCTAAAAAAAGAAACAATGAATACAGAAGAGATCGATAATCAGGAAAAAAAAACAACTATCACAATAAGGCAAAACAAGAACCGACAACATGAAGAAAGATCAAAGAAGGAAAAAGAAAAGAGAAGAGGACAAAGAAATACTATGGATAACATTTAGGAAGATAGGAAACACGAGAGAACAATAAGCAAAAGGACAGAAAGACATGACAAGAAACAAGCAAGAACAAGATAGAGAAAGAGAAGAGAAAAACAAGATAGTAATGGAGAAGGAATAACGAAGAGGAAGAACAACCAGGAAAGAGATAAGAAACAAAGACAAGGAGGGAGAAAGAAGCAACAGTAGGAACAAAAGGAAACAAAGATGAAGAGAATAAAATGGAAGAGAAGTAAGTTAACAAAAGACAGGATGACAGAAAAAGAAGGAAATGAAGAGAAGGAAGAAACACACATGACAAACAAAAAAGAAAAGAAAGAGCAAGACAGCAGGAGAGGAGGAAGAAGTGAACAGTAATAATAAACAGAAAAAGAAAGCAAGAAAGATAAACTAGGAAAAAAGAAAGAAAAGCTAGACAGAAGAACGAAAGAAAGTAAAAGCAAGAAAAGGAGCGAAACGAGAACAAGATAGATGAAAAGCTATGAAAACGAAAGAATCAAGAGAAAGAGGAACAAGAAACACAATGAAGAAAAAAGGAACAAACAACAAGAACGAGTAACGAAAATCGAAAAATAGGAAAATAGAGCAGCAGGAGAAGGGAACAAAGAGATAGAACAAAAAGAAGAGAAAACAATAATAAAAAATAGCAGAAAAGTAACAGCGAGAAAGAGTGACAAAGAGAATACGAGACAAGATACAATAAAATAGTAAAGAGAGGAAGGAGTCGCAAAAGGAAGACAAAAGAAATAACAAGATCCAATAAGGAAATACAAAGACAAGCAAGAAAGAGAAGAATCATGAGAAAACAATGGACAGGAAGAAAGGAAAAAGAAGAGAGCAATGCAAGAAAAGGAAAGAAGGGACAAATAGACAGCAATGAGAACTATAGGGAAGTAACAATAAAGAATAATAGAAATGATAGAAGTAGAGACCAACAACAGGGAAAAGAACAAGTTAAGAAGAGAAAAGGAAAGAAAAAGACAACAAAAAGAACAGTAAGACAAGAAAATGAGAGCAAAGGAAAGGAAGAGATGAAGCAAGGAAGAGGCAGAAGGACTCAGGTACAAGAGCAAGCAACAGAAAAGCACGACCGAGAAGAAAAGAATCGATAATAAAGAAAAAAAAACCATACAGAATATACGAAGATAGGAGAATAAGCAAGAGGAAAGAAACGAAGAGGCACAGTAAGACAAGAGA